TTGTTGTATATTTCTTTCTGTCTTGTGAATTTTCTTTTCCCATTTATCTTCGATATTGATAGTCCTATTTCTTTGGGGATTTTTTTTAGTTTCTACCTCAAGACAGTGTTTGTGAGTTTGCAAAGTTAACTCCAGTGCAACTCCTTGAAGAGACTGAGAAAGCTGTAGGTGATCCTCAATTACCTGTTCAGCATCATGCTCTCATTGTGAAGAGTCAGGAATTGAAGAAGTTTGAACGAGTAAGTCACTGGTTCATGTGGTTGTCCTATCTGCCAAATTCTTATCTGAAGAGAGAGCTAAAGATTGTGGTTCTTTTGATTTGTCATAGGCTGTCGAGAGCAACAAAGGGTCTCTGGATCAACTAAAAGCTGTTAATGCTGAACTAGAAAGAGATGTTAAACGAGTTCGTCAAAGAGAGGAACTCTTAGCAAAGGTTTTTAATTGACATTTGTTTCTCATTGCTTTTATAGTTGAGATGAATGATAAATTCCATTTATGAGGTTCCAGGCCGAATCTATGAAGAAAAAATTACCATGGCTGAAGTATGACATCAAGAAGGCAAAATACATGGAAGCTAAAGAGCAGGAAAAGGAAGCAAAGCTGAAGCTAGATGAAGCTGCTAAGTCTCTAAATGAACTTAGAGAGCCTATCGAGTATGTAAATTTGCTTTAGCTATATACTTTTTGACTTTGACGATTTTACATATTTGTTAGGACCTAGAAAGTGTTTACTGCCTTGAGAAATGTAGTTTATTTTGGCTGAGATGATAACTCATGAATAAAGGGAAAGTTGGGAAAGCTAGACAAATACCTGAAGTTATGTAAATTAGCTTTCCGCATGACAGGAATGCATATAGTTTCTGTAGTTTTATCGATTTACTTATGCACTGTTCTTGTCTTGCTTAGGATTTCTTGGCTTCAGATACTTTCATGCTTTTAGCTTTGTTACAAAATAACTTCTTTTCAGGAAACAAAAACGTGTGAAAACAACACATGAGGCTAAATGTAAAAAGATTAATGGTTTAATAGATGGCAATTTGAAGAAGCGTATGCAACTTTTGGAGGATGAAAGCCGTTTGGTATGTTGTTATTGTCTTTTGTCAACTACCTGTATTTCATTTGCTTAGGTTGTTCTGACATTTACTTTACTGCCTCATTCTTGGTCGACCTTTTTTATAGGGAGTTCTAATGCAAGGGAAATATAACGAAATGGAGGAACTGAGGCGTCATGAAGAATCTCGCCAACAAAGAATCTCCAGAGCTAAAGTAGATCTTTCAGCTGCAGAAGCAGAGCTTGCTAATCTTCCTCCTTATGAACCTCCAAAGCATAGAATGGTGGGTTTAACATTTTTTATTGATTGATATCTCTCTGGCAATGCCAGTTGAGTCCAAGCAGTAACATAACTCTATTCATTACCTAGGCTCCCCAGAGAAATTCTCTATTCATCTTGATTTTATTAACTTGTATTGTATCTGAAATGATATTTCCAGGAACAACTAAGTGCCCGAATTGTGGAGCTGGAAGGGACTGCAAAAGAGATAAGATCTGAAAAAATGGAGAAAGAGAAGCACCTAAATCACAATAGATCCATTCTGAGGCAGTGCATGGACAAGTCAGTGTGAATTTTTGGCTATAGTTTTGTTTGAGTTCTGGATGTTATATAAAACCTTTTCTTATCCTTTTCAATCCTGAAGATTAAGAGATATGGAGAATGCAACCAATAAGCGTTTACAAGCTTTGCGAAATTCTGGTGCCGAGAAGATATTTGAGGCTTATCAATGGGTTCAGGATCACCGTAATGATTTCAACAAGGAAGTTTACGGTCCAGTATTGCTTGAGGTGCATGATTTGAACTTTGAAAAGTGACTTCTATGCATCTTTTACATTCTTATGCACTGAGTCTATATTAACATTGTTGAGACTGCACATTCAGGTCAACGTCTCTAACCGCTTTCATGCTGACTGCTTAGAGGGTCATGTTGCACATTACATATGGAAGGTATTTTGAAATTTACTTATTATCTTCTATTTTTGTTTTAGTTTCTTATTTCTTTGTGTCTAATATAAAATAATGTTATTCCCTCTTAATTTTGGTGCCCAGAATTTTTCACATGGTGATGTTTGATATATTATTACTGAAACTACTTCATTACTTAGAGTTATACAGATCAAGCCTGTGCAAAGATTGTTATTATGTCAAATGAGCTGGATATTTGTTCTGCAAAGATTAATAATCCTGCATTCTTAGCTTATCTTACTGTTCTGGTAGTAATGCCACGCCATTTAAAAGTTTAATCAGTTAGAGTGTGGACATATTTATTTATTTATTTACAAAACACCTGTCTCAATGGAGGCTTGATTTGTTTTCCCATTAAAAACTTGTCACTTGCACAATTTCCATATTTTTTTTAAAGATGGACAGTAGGGGTGATTGAACTCAGGATGTCTGCATGCAATCACACCATAATAGGGAAATTAAATAGAAAAATGAGAGACTTATTTTCTCTTATCCAAACAAATCGATACATGGTATAGATACTGAAGTTGTACAATACAAAGGGAAATAAATAGAGAGAATCGGAAGAGATGAAGCCTTGAAATCTGATTTATTCCAATAATCTTGCAGACAATCTTGGAGGAGATGAAGCCTTAAAACACAAATATTCCAACACTGCTAGTTTGAATATGTTAGTCAAATGAAGTTTGCTTGTTAAGGGATCAAAAGCATGGTTGGGATGTCTTTTGTGAGGATGTCAGCTGGCTGGTCTTTTTGTAGGATGATTACGTGCAAATTGTGCTATTTTTTAGTTATTTTTTTTTAATTAGAATTGCAGTCAACCTCTACTTATTTTGTTTTGTCGCGTTGCATTGGATTGGATCGTGGACTACGTTTGTCAATTCCTTGTTATCAGTGTATTGTAATTGGGGCTTCAGCATGTCTTTTAATTCCTCTAAAAGTTTTTTCAAGTTGCAAAGTTCATGCATTCCTTTAGCAAGAGCTTTTAATTCAGTTTTCACACCATTCCTTGCAACTACTGTGTGCTGCTTAATCCACTTCACAAGATTATCACTAACTAAAGCAACCCGATGGAACCTGCTTAGTTTCCACCTGCGTAAGCTTCCACTCTTAAGTTCGCACTTCTTTCAAACAACATATTGTTCAATTACTACAAAACTTCTCACTCTTTTCATTCAAATATCATATTGTTTCTGTGCCCCGATCACCACTCTGCTAAGATATATGGGGGATATTCATGGCTGAACACCACCCAATCTGGTCCTTCTTCGAAAATCCCTGAAATAGTTGAAACTTTCGATCTTCACACATTCATTTTGCCATTACCCAAGCCTATTATATTTTGAATGAGAAATCCACTACACCTGCTTGAGACAACCCAATTCAACCAACTTCCAGTAGAAGTCTGCGCCAAAGCCATCTTGTGCGACCGATACTCCATGAATTCTTTCTACAGATCACACAGCATGAAGGGTGGAGGGAGAAATAAAAAAATTTCTTTTGAACCATTTCATGAGTATTAATTTTCCTTCAAAATACCGGCCGTAAAAATACCTTAATTTTGTAACAGATGCAAGATTTACAAATGAATCTAATGGGGCAAAAATGGGGTAGTTTGGTAAATCAACTAGTGTATTGAAGAATGACTTGCGAGTAAAGGATCCTAAAGGCTCTATCTTCCAAATCTTTTAATTCTAGGTATCAGGTCAACAATCTCAAGAATAGTCTATAAAGATGCTAAGTCAAATCTCGTATTCCCTCAAGTCAAGGATGTTTATTTTTAACTCTGCACGATGCATAGGATTTGCTGTTACTTTTGAGTAAGGTTTAAATGACTGTTAGCTTTGTTATCATCTTTCTTTTTCCATCTGTCAATTTCTTTTTCCTGATTGGTTATCCTATCCAGGCTTTTATAACTCAGGATTCTGATGACCGTGATTTTTTATTTAAAAACCTGAGGTCCTATGATGTTCCTGTTATTAATCATGTTGGTGATGAAGGTCAACGTAGGAGCCCTTTTCAAACAACTGAGGAGGTATTACTTTGACTTCATGTAAATTCATCATTAATGCTATGTCAAATGCTAAGTGAATGTCTTGTTTGACTGTCTTAAGCAGATGTGTAAACTTGGCATATCTTCCAGGCTGGACCAAGTATTTGAAGCTCCACATGCTGTCAAAGATGTTTTGACAAGTCAATTTGGATTGGAACATTCAGTATGCTTACTCATTTATCTTTTAATATTTTGTGTGACTTCATGTAAACTTTGAGCAGCATCAAAAATTTGGACGAGTAGTCTATGGCAGAAGATTTTTTCTGAGCACCGGTTTTGGTATTTTAACAATCTTTCTAATGTCGCGATGTTCTGTTTCAGTATATTGGCTCTCAAGAAACTGATCAGAAAGCTGATCAGGTCCTTGGATTGGGAATTATGGATGTCTGGACCCCAGAGAATCATTATCGTTGGTCCAGGTCCCGTTACGGGAGTCATGTTTCTGCTAGTGTAGAATCTGTAACCCGTTCTCATCTTCTCCTCTGTAGTATGTTCCCTTTGATATGCTTATAGTACTCTTTTTGTTAGATTTTTATATAGAATAGCTAGTTTATATTTTTGTCTAATTGATTCTTTTAGATCATGAATATTCTATTATATTATGTCATTTAGATTATGACACCATAAAATATTATGAACTGAGTTCTAATTACCATTAGCCTCAAATATTACAATCTACTAAATAAACCATTGTGAACTGTGCTCCTAGGAAAATTCAGCTTGACCAAAAAGGTTTAAGACATCCTGCTAATACAGAACTCAGATTGTAATAATACTCAATAATTAGCCTCTGTATTTTTTATGAACTACTTTTCTTTTTAAGATCTGGACATTGGGGAAATTGAGCGTCTCAAATCAAGGAAAACAGAGCTGGAAGAGACTATCTCTACTATAGATGCAGATTTGAAAGCTCTTCAAATGGTGCTAAGACAGAAAGAGGATGAAGCAGCTGAACATAGGCGTGAACGTGTAAGTGAATTTTGTGGAAACTGTTTTTCTGTTTGCTTCATAGTTCTTTTTGAAGTTCTTTGATCATTTATGGAGGGACATCTATTTGATTGCTTTCACTTAAACAAGAGCATTGTTTAGCAGGATTAAGTAGCACTCCCTTTTGTTTTCAATGATATAGTAGTGGAAGAGCTTCTAAAACTGGTTATAACATAAATGGACTTGAATTTATCAATAAGCATACTTACTGGTCTTCATGCCTGCAATACGTATGTGTGTGTAAGACCATATATTCTTTTATCTTCTTCATGGTGTGTTCGGTGCCATAATGATGCTGAATTGATTGATTATATTCGTATATTTTCGCATTTTGAGTTGCGCTTGAGGTGTTGGAGCAAATTGTCATCGAACCTTGAATTGGTTAGATGATGCCTAGGACCTGTGTATCCATGATGTCTCAATATAACGGTGGTTTTGGTTCCAAAGAGCTAAAACTATTTGGAAGCTAGTGGATTTGGCAGTCTTTTGGGTTTAATGGCTAGAAAGGAATGCTATTTTTCAGAGAGGTTGGCTATGTACTTGGAGTTTCTGTGGGGTTGGAATGCATACGGGACTTCTCTTCTGTCTTCTGACGAGCCGGGGGGGCGGGGGGGGCGCCCTATTTTCCTGTATTTTTGGGCACAGGTGTAATATGGTATAGCTTTGTGTGTTTATTTCTAATGTTTAGGGGATGTCTTGACCTCTATGAGCAAGGCTGCTATGGCTAATGGATGAGTTAATGATGGACCTGAGATTGATAATGAAGCGGTGATGGATCCTGAAGTGAACGGTGAGGCTTCAATGGTAGCTGGATTATCTCACAATTGTTTTGCAGATAATGAGGACTTTGGTCTACGGCTTTAGCATGGTTTAAGGCTTTGGATGGTAAGAATATTAGTGACGTACAGGTGCTCAATTTTGGTGAACTGAGCCTTGTGATTCAGGTTGATGTGACTGGCAATAGGTGGTTCCTAGTTTGGTGGAAAGGGATGATACGGTGTCCCTAGGAGCCATGATTGAAGGGGATAGGGCAAAGTAGGTTGTTGAAGTTTCAGTGGGCCAAATGAATGAGCACAATTTACTGATTTGTTGTTCCTCTTTTATCGCTGGTGGTAACCACGTGCAGAGTTCCCCATGAGCACAGAGCTCGGAAGTGGGATTGACACTTGATTCTTGATACAATTATATGCTACCATACTGGATAATTGAATCCCCCTGTAGGACGAAGCCAATTTCAACATAAGAGAGTGCCCATATGGAGGCGCACATCCATTGAGGAACATATGCAAATGGTTAAAAGGAGATGCAACATTGAGTACAATGCCTTGTGCTCCCTGATGTCAAACAGATAGTTGACCACAAAGCTCCAAGGAGCTTTCCTATATGGTACTATGGGGCCCAGAGCTTTCTTGGCCGCTGTTCAAATGTGCATAGCTAGTAAAGCTTGTTGTGATCCAAACAACTAAATGATAGCTGTAACGACACATCTTTGTAAAATCTTACCTTACTACGAGTGAATCCCTTAAATCTGTTTTGATAAATAACAATCAAAGATCTAGGAAGGATAAGATTTCCAGAGCAGCAAAAAATTACCAATCATGTTTCCTGAGTGCAAGAACTGATTTGAGCATATTCATCATGTTGCAAACACATGATACAAATATTTAAGGATAATCCCTTGTGCAGTTTGTGGAAGCTGAATTGTCAATGTGATAAACACTACTTTTGGGTAAGATCTATTCTATTTTCAATAAAATAATAATTTAAAAGACTAAAATAGCTTGAACTATCAAACTCCACTCATATGCTCAGAAGAAATTGTCGAGCGAAATCCTTGCTAAAAGTTCAGTTGCATCTTGAGTATTAGGAATCTCTAATGATGTCCAATTTGTGCCTTTCTTGATCCTTTGGAATCATACTACCTTGATTACAAATTTACAATCATGGTTGTTGTATCGACATCAATGTAATTTCTTTCATTGTGCATGCTCTTTGGCACAACTTATAAGTCGTGATAATTCTTTCAGGAGGAGATTGTGAACATGTCACAAAAGGAGAAGAAGAAACGACGGGAGATGGAAAACCTCGTCAGTGAGTATCAGAGCGATGTTGGATTTATTTAAGATAAACATATTTTGTGAAGTAAATCAATTTATTGTTTTGGTATTTCTTTGAGAAACAAATATCTCTAAATTTAGATCAGAGAAGGATAAAGTTGAAGTCAATAGAAAAGGAGAATGATCCTGATGTCTCTATCGCAAAACTTGTTGACCATGTTAAAGAATTGAAGATTCAGCGGTTTCGATGTGCGATGGAGATCAAGGTGAAGCATATTTTGTTTAAGCTCTTTGTATTTTATGCATACCCCCATTTGGATATGTTAGTTAATCCTGTTTTTACTCAGAAGGTGGTTCTTTACCTCACTCATTGTTTTTTGGATAGGGTTCACTAGTTGAGGCTGTTGCTCACCGGAGAAGTTTTGCTGAAATGAACATGGTCTCCATTGAACTTGAAGCTAAGGTATACTTCCCTTCTTTGATCTTGATGCTGGAAACATGTGCTTTCTTATTTCATGACTTCTTTGTCCTGAAGCAGATATTAGATTGATTTAAAAAATTCTAGAAGATAGTATCTTATGAAAAAAATTGTTTACACTACATTTGTTATTAAATTGCAGTGATTTTAAAAGTCATCATTTGTGATTAGTCTACAATGCTTACCTCCTATCCTTTTTGGACTAGTGTATCTATTTCTTGCACTGCAGTTTGGACCGTCTTGCTGATATCATCAGCACCATTAAGTTTTATTTATATTCATGTAGTTTTTAATTTTTTTCGAGATGAGGATAGCAAACTTGTTTAGGACCTTATTCCATGTTGTATCGTCTGGTGTGTGTGGAGAGAAAGAAACAGTCACTGTTTTAAAGACAATCACGGACAATAGAGCAGATTAGAGAATTGTTTTATTTGACATTGTATACTTGGTTTAATGCTGCGGCTATTAGGCATATAGACGGGCTGCCTAATTTCATGTTGTTACTTTCTGACTTAAATTGATAATATACTTCCTGTGTATTACGCATTGATTAATAAAATTTTTGATTACCTTTCAAAATAAAATAAAATGTAGTTTTTGAGTTTCACTTTACATTTAGGAAGCAGTTGCGGGCTATCTGTTTTGTGATGCGATACTTCAAAGTGAGTCCTTAAGAAGTTGTGTGCTTGTGTAGAAGGCCTTATATGGAGGGACGGCCTCTGGAATTGATCATGCTGTGCTCTTGTGATTTAAATCACGAGAAATACTCTTACTCAAATTTGAGCATACCTGAGTTATACATTGCTTTATAATTTTCTTTGTTGATACTGATGAAACAAAAGATTACTGAAAATCTGTAATAAAACACAGGCACCAGCACTTTTCACCCCCTATTACCGTGTGATAATCCAGTGACTAACAAATGGATTTATTAGAAATACATGAAAAGGATGGGTTCGAGCAATCCTTGTGTGTTCCACTTCGTCCGTTTCTAACTGGTAGATTTATTAGGAACACATGAAAGAAAACATATGTGCATTTGGATCCTTTTAACACACACCAAACACTCTGTAAAAAATCATATGTTTTCTAGGTGGTTAACACTTAACAGGAGTGATTCAAGAACCGTTACATAATGTGAATGTTTCCAACTTACATGTGCATTTGTTGGTTTTATCATGTTTGTTTTTGGCCATTTTAGTAGGCCTTTTAATTAAGAGATTTCATATATGGTGATTACTACTAAATGAAGCCTTTTCTTTTCTTATATTCTTTCAATCTATATCTTAATTTTTCTCCTCTTTATTTACTGGCCATTCTCTTTCTTTTTCCTTTCTCCAACGTGCTACCTCTTAATGCACAAGATTTATATCTAGTTTACAAAATCAAAAAAATTCAGTATCCAGTTGTCTCTAACAGATGTTCACCAATCAGCATTATTTAAGATTCACAAGTTCAGTTGATTATTTGGTAAATGTGTATCGTGTTCTATTGCTTGTTCATCGCTTATAAATTGATAGACACGCTCAATGTTGTAGATGGTCCTGGCCACTTCTAGGCCAACTTAATGAGAATAAACCTTATGCTTTCCATGTAATATGATTTGTTGTGTTGTGTTGTCAATATAGATTAAAGAGATGGAAAGCAATGTAAAGCAACAAGAAAGGTTTGCCATGCAAGCATCCTTGAATTTTGAATATCGTAAGTTTTTACTTTCTGAATGTGATTTCATTCTTTCTTCAATTCTGATCTTTCTGGAAACATTGTGTTATCCAGTTTTTCTTGTTATAATTAGATCTCTCTCATTTGTTTTCTTGTTTCATTGCGAGAAACAATTGAAGGTTTCTAAGAACCAATGAACAATTGAAAATATAGAATATAATTGGCTCGTCCAGTTGTCATATGAAGCTTACTATCAAAACCTGAGTTATTTGTAACTCCATTTTCACTGGTTGTTTCTTCAACTAGGAAAAAAAGACTGTATACTGTAGTAATGTATAGATGCTCAAAAGTACGCAATTAGGACATTATTCTTTTAGTACCCTGATGTAGTAATTGTTACCTTGTCGATGATTAGGTAAGAAAGAAGTCGAGGATTGTCGACAAGAACTGATAGAAGCCAAGAAGCATGCAGAATCAGTTGCTGTGATTTCTCCTGAACTTGAGCGTGCTTTTCTGGAGGTTCGCTTCTAGCTTAAGTAATGTTGATTTATTGACAGTTTTAATATTAATGCATTGTTTAATGTCTATACAATAAGCTTTTACTGTGTTTCCAGACACTTTTTTGCGTACAAGATGATGTATTTGGATAATATTAGATAAGTACTTAGAAGGAATTTATAATTATCCTCTGTAAAATGGAATTGACCTTGCTAAGTAAAGATTTCCACCTTAGGGTAAATTCTACTCCAGATAGCCTGCAAAGCTAAGAATTAGCATAATCATAATCAAACCCGTCAAAGGATTTGGCAGAATATTTTTTTACTTAATTTTCAACACACATTATTATATTCCCATATTCAGCTATCATCATTCAAATCAATGCTTGAAACCTTCCCAGGATATAAGTCAAATGGTTGCAGGTTCATTTACTCTTCTTTTTTAGCAGATATGTGCAAAACCCATGCTTGATGTCTCTTTGCTAATCATATCTGTAACAGTAGCACTGTGCATCACCTGAAATATTGCATGATATCCAAATATTGACTTCAAATATTATCGTCGAGATGAATTTTATCTTTTCAAATGTAATTCCCATCTATGCCTTAAAAAATCCAACTTATGGAGTGCTATCTAAATATTTTACCACATGTTTTCTAAGTTAACCCACAAGGCACAGGCTTTCTTTACTATAAAACAATTTAGAAACAGGCATCTCATAGCTGGATGGATGTTGAAAGTACATGGAGTGGAATCTGAAATAGTATTTGTTCGCACTCTGGAGTAAATTTGAGAATATTTTTCTAAATACTCAATGGTTGGGCCGGTTAAACCTAGTTGTAATATTTGGCATTCGTTAGTAGTGGATTATGCATAGATATGCTAAAAGATACCGGTGACTGTTACTTAGTTAGCTTTCTTTCATCAGTTGGGGAGTGCTAATTGCTTGCTTGTTCCTATTTTATTTCATGTTCCAGCTAAATTTGTTTATTTCTGATGCTTTTTATAATTTAGAAGTATATTATTAATTATAAATTGAGACAAGCCAAATACCTGGGGACAAAATTCAGCTCTTATCAGCACTATCAAGAAAAACCATCATTGAATCTATACATGTAGGGGTCATATTTTATTAGCAAATCAACAAGAGTAGTAGTAACAAGAAAAATCATCGTTGAATCTATACGTGTAGGGGCCATATTTTGGTAGCAAATCAACAAGAAGAGGGAATACTACTCTACACCTTTAAACTCTCTGAAATCTTGTTGACACAACTTTTACTTTGTGTGCTTATTAATTTACTGAGTGAGTCATTGCTCATTTGGAAATATTACTTGCAGATGCCTGTTACCATTGAGGAACTGGAAGCTGCAATTCAGGATACTATTTCTCAAGCCAATTCTATTCTTTTTCTTAATCACAACATTCTGGAAGAATATGAAAGTCGCCAAAGAAAAGTATCTCTCACTTTTTTTATTTTGTTTCTTTAAGATTTTTTTTTGCTGGTGATTACTCTTTTCTTTTACACATTTTCATGTTTTCCTTTCTGTGGTAAAATGACTACAATGTGCAGATAGAAGCCCTGAGTCAGAAACAAGAGATGGATGAGAAGGAACTACATATCCGAGTAGACGAAATCAATGCTTTGAAGGTTAAGTGACCTGGATTGCCCTTCTGTATTTACAGTATTTGTTTCTCATTTGTTGGCATAAAATTATATAAACGGATAAGGAAGAAAGGACTACAAAAATCACAAATGCTGATAGCAAAATCTGTCAGTAATTGCATTCATCTTCTAATGGTAGTTGTCACACGTCATCGGATTACTCTCTGCCAATAGGTGTGCAACTGGGATATAGTTTTAGTTCAAGAGGGTATACATAAATATTGCTCTTGCTTATATGTTATCCTCCGTGGAATGGTATACGCAATTGCACATCTGTCAAATAGCAGTGGTTCGGAGACATCGATGTTAGTGTTCAGTGCATAAGCTTGATGAGCTCAGACCGTGATAGGGTTCTTCCTGATGCCGCTTACAGTCTTGCCCGTGTACCCTTGCTTTTTAGTCCTCGGGCTCTCAGCATGTCTTGGAAATCAAACGAGCAATTAAGATTTGTATAAATAAAAAATAAAGAGCAACCAATGCACAAATTAAATCCAGTGGGAACTCCATGGAGTTGTCTCTTTTGATTTAACAAGGTAGAGACAGAGAGTAACAAAAGTAGATTTTGCATGAGTATTTTTCCCTTAATTTTCAAATTATTGAGGGATTAACAACGGAAAAAACAAAGTTATGTTTTGTATATTTGTTTACCAACTGATATAAAACTTCTTTTATGTTCTACTTTACAGAAAGATAAAAAATCATTTTCCGCAACCTTTTTTAGTGGTGGATCATTGACCGATTTTAGAACTTTGTTTTGATTTAATTTACCGAATGAAAAATTTGTATCTGTTGATAAAGGTCCTCATATTTCTTCTTTGACTATCAATCACTGTTAACATATCTTTCGACATATTCTATCATCCAACAGTAATTTATATTTTTCTTTATTGTGATAGAAGATTAAGATATGATGGTTTTTGTTAATGCCAACATGCTTGTCATACCTGATAGACAACCACAGTGTATTCTGACTGTAATCTGTCTGCAGGAAAGTTGGCTCCCAACATTGAGAAGTCTTGTGAATCAAATTAATGAAACTTTTAGTCGCAATTTCCAAGAAATGGCAGTGGCTGGAGAGGTGTCTTTAGGTCATTGTCTTAATTCTATTAAATAATCAATTTTTAGGTGTTTAATATTTCTTTATTTGATCAGTGTTTTTTTCCCTCTTTTCCAGATGAACATGACATGGACTTCGATCAATATGGGATCCTAATAAAAGTTAAGTTCAGGTAAAAGATTCTTTCATTTTGTCGTAATTTTTTCTTTCTCAAGAAAATTACTTGGTTGCATGAAAATTGCATCATTTTTTATGAGAACTTGCTGCTGCTGTTGATTTTATGTAATATTGTAGCAGACACGTCTTACTACTCTGTACAAAAGGAGAGAGGAGAGATTCAGGCACGTAGGAAGTGCATGTTATGTGATACATTCAGACTTATAGTTTACTCGAATTTCATAATGTATGAATGGTCCATGGCATCCTAGTGGTGTGGAGTTTGGTTGTGGACTTTCTTTCTGATACTATTTCATTTTGGCTTTATTTAATATGATTTCCACTGTGATCACCAGGCAAACAGGACAGCTTCAGGTTTTAAGTGCTCACCACCAATCTGGAGGGGTACGTCATGTGGTTGAGTTTTTCTGTACACGATCTTCTGACTATGACAACTAATTTCTTTTAACACCTGGTTTTCTAGGAACGCTCTGTTTCAACTATTCTTTACCTTGTCTCTTTACAAGACCTTACTAACTGCCCATTTAGGGTAGTAGATGAAATAAATCAAGGTTGGTTAAAATTTTTAATTGTCCAAGTCTTCTTGTTGCAATGATATGTTTATTGAAAAGAGACGATCTCTATTTCTTTCAAGGTATGGACCCTATAAATGAGAGAAATATGTTTCAACAATTAGTTCGAGCTGCCAGCCAACCAAATACACCACAGTAAGAGATTGCTTTTGTTTTACCCTATTTGCTTGACCAGTTATTGAAGACACTTTACATGTTTGCTCAGTATATTCATGTTCATCATGATCATTGATAAATAACAACTGCCTCCATTAACACAGTCAGCTGTTCTTACATTTTAGAATTCTTCAGTCCTCTGTGGCAACGGTTTTTACTCTTAAATGGCATTTAGTTGATCGATTCACCTGCCTTTATCAGTTGATTGCATCAGAGATGTGGGCCTCTTTCTGTGTTACTAAAACAACTAGAAATAGCTCGAAAAGTTTCATAATGTTAAATGCTGTGCAGATGCTTCTTGCTTACGCCAAAATTACTGCCAAATCTAGAATACAGTGACGCCTGCAGCATCCTTACTGTAATGAATGGACCTTGGATTGAGCAGCCCTCAAAAGGTTAGCCATCCATAGTTTCAAGTACATACACCCCCTTTGCTGCAGCTAATCTGTTTTACAAGTTAACATTCTTGTGCCAATTTGCAGTGTGGAGCAGTGGTGAGAACTGGGGATCTATTGGGGCTCGGTTGGCAGGAAACCACTGCTAAGGTCCTCTGGTCTCGCGTGGATATCGTTGTTGTAAATTCATTTTGAAGTAATTTTTTCTTTTATTCCTTGTTGCACAATAGTCTGCTAAAAATTTGTTACTGTTCGATTTGTCAGTTGCAATCTGTTCCTTGACTAGTAACAGTTGACAATATTAACAGTTGACAATATTTTGCTTAGTGGAGTATCCATATTAAATAAGAATTTTGTTGGTAAAGTTGACTATTAACTTTACATTTGGGACTTTATTGATATGTTTTAAATAAAAGGAAAATATCCTTTTACATTTTCTTCTATATCCCAAGCTTAAGATATGTTATAAGAAAATTAATTTTTATTTAGTAAATTGCAAAACTCCTAAAAGTCCGAGGTAGACTTCTTTGAAGAACATAAGTTTAGAGTAACAATTTTGTCTACATATTACTTCCATTCGAGACATTCCATCGATGAATTTTATTTACAAGTAGCTATTGCAATTCAAAAATCAGTTACTTTTTTGACTTGCAAGAAAAATGTAATTTCACAATTGTTAAAAAAAGTCGCTCAAGGTCTGGTTTACTTGTACGTTTAGATGAACAAATGACAATAGCAAACGACACGTTAAACCAAAGTTGCAATTCACCATATGATTCATGCACCTATTTTTCGCATGACAGGCTAGAAATGCATGCTAGAATTTGATATGAAGCATAAAATTGCTTAAACTACAAAAGATACTAGGCCGATAGTAAACTGGAGCTTTGTTACAAATTTTAGCAGAGCTGCAGAAAAAGGCTTAAAAACTCTCCTTTCAGATGTATTTCTTTTTGTACACCTTCTGCTAATACGAGCACTGAAGAAGTTAAATCGAATGTCAAAAATCTTTACACGAGTTTTTTTGTATTCTCTAAGCACTTGACGGAGGCTTGTAGTCGAGAATATCCTTTATGTTTAACCGAATTGATGGCCCCATAGATGAGCATATATGGGCACTTTTCCAGTACACACCTTTAGCTCCGGATGGCTTGTTTGCTTCTACTGATTTCTGGAAAATTAACACAAATCGAAGCAAATATGTTATGGATGCATTTGGACCATGTTGGAGCACGAGAAAAGATACAAGTTAAAGAAAAAATGATCAAATATTACAGCATACCACAGCAGCAAGAAAGTTTATAATAAGATCTTCCTCTGAAAAATCAATCTTTCCAAAAGGCAAGTGAACAATCCCCGTTTTATCAGCTCTAAATTCTACCTTCCCCTTCTTAAATTCCTCTATAGCCTGCACTCAAAATCATATCAGCTATATAAAGAATTCAAGAGTGCTTACTTCAACAAAATTCATACTACTAGAGACCTAGAACATAGAAGGAAAATGCTTTCGATGGCACAAGGATAATGAATATACGCGATGAGTTGTTAACAAGTATTTTGCATACTTTTCCAATACAGCAGTAAAATTTTAGCAAGAAATGCCATATGTTCTGAAATTTAGATGTCAACTGAAAAACATAAACTAATAAAAGAAATGATGCTGTACCTGTGGTATGTTTGTAGTTACAGTTCCAGCTTTTGGATTTGGCATTAGTCCTCGCGGTCCTAAAATTTTCCCAAGGCTCGCGACCTGATGGAAGTAAAAGGGAATATGTGAATTAGAGCTGAAAAGAAGATGACTATACAGCCAAGAGCCAAGATAAGAGAAGAACCAACAAATAACTGCAGATTTCAGCAACAAATATATCTCAGGTGCCGTGTGTGCATGTTTTGTTTTGTTTTTTTTTTTGGAGGATGGGGGCGGGATTAGAGTCTCTTACTTAAAAAGTCAATCACTAAAATCAGTGTTACTGGAAGGTGCTTGATTTCCATTTTTTGTTAAAGAGTAAAATTTTATAGAACATACCAAACAATGAAATAGGTCTGCTAATTATAAAATGGTCGTGTTTCGAGAAAGAGTCACATAAAGCGTATAATGTTCCAGGATCGGTTAATATGATGGAACATGTAACAGATCTTCATGATTTTCAAACTTCATTAAGACAACAGCTCCTTGTTTCAGATCACCAAAGTGGATAGAATAGTTACCCAAAAGTGGTGGAATTAACCAGAAACATAGACACAGAGCGGACGGCATCGTGCAATAGCATGAAATTGAACATACCCTCAGCATATCAGGACAACCAAATTCCTAAGTTTTTTAAAATGGAAAAGTCACCAGAGCCAGTTGACAGATATTTATCACGTGGCAACTTTTTTCCACGAAAAATAAAAAGGGAACTATCAGAATAGTTTACAGAGGATGTCTTGAACTAAAAGTATTATGATTTTTTTTGGCAACTGGAAGAGAATAATGATGATTCTAATAAGCAGAGGAAATAGGCAATGTAGGGTAACAATCCATGTAATTAATCATGATGTGACTAGCAGAATGATTACCTTAGGCATCATATCTGGTGTCGCAATTAATTTGTCAAAATCCATGAATCCTCCTTTTATCTGTGCTATCAAGTCTTCCCCACCAACAAGATCAGCTCCGGCATTTTTTGCCTCATCGAACTTTTCACCTACAGAAATGCAACTGTACAATAATGAGACTAACTAGATGATATAATTGTGTTTGAGATAATTTGAAAGAGAATGTATAGGAGATCAAAAACTGTTAATGCTAAGGTACGCATAAAATCTCTAACTGACCTCATAATGTATTCTGAAGCAGCATATTTGACACAAGTTCATGAAACAAAAGAAATGCAATTCTTTCCATCGCTAAACAGACTTTTTTATACTCCTTTGAACTTTCAGTTTTACAGACATCCATACAGAGGAGATAATTTTCATCCGAACTATTAATCCTATGAATATTTTACAATATCTCCCAATAATTCATGCATGTTTAGAAACTAAATATTTATCTGTATTGTTTAGCATAAAAAACTATGTAGTCTCAGGAAGTAAAACATTTTCTCTTTCACCCAGCGTAATGACCTTTCAGGAGGAAAGTTCTGTAGTTTCTAGTCACGCAACGGATAATTTGGTCATTGACTTCATTTGTATATAATTCTACATGAATTAATTCTTGACAGATGAATAAGTTAACCCCTCAAAACATTATCCTCTTCATTTCTATTTCAAGTAGATTATATTGCATGGACAATGTAGATACATTAAAACTATTTATATAGGGATAAAATATATCATGAGTAGTTAGACAAGACTTGCAGCTGATTTTTCCCATAGATAAGTTTGATGTGCAAACATTTAAATCATCTTTGTAAATGCAGTATTTCTTTAAAGAGAATAAATGGCTGATGAATTCTTGATATGACCAAGCTTTGAATGGTTTTTGGGAGAGTGCTCAGGGTCAGCACTCTCTTTCAATCAATTGAAGTCTCGTTCATTTGGCTGGTTGAATTGGATGTCAGTAGTGTCTTTTGTAATCTTCTATTCCTAGTGCTTTAAATGAGAACGAGATGCTCTCATCTGCAGAGGAATGTCATTTTCGGAACTGATAAAGAACTATAAATGTATGACACATCTTCTACAAAAAAAGACTCACACATCATAAACTTGACAAAAATATACTAGTACCATAAAGAAAATGAATTACCTTGTGTAAGAACAGCAACTTTAACAGTCTGACCGGTCCCTTTGGGTAAATTAACCTACAACAAAGAAAAATTCATCCTACTATGGAACAGCTAACAATAGATTGAAACACATTTTACCAAGTAATGTCAGGAAACTTACAGTTGCCCTCAGTTGTTGATCATTATATTTCGGATCAATATTGAGGCGGAAATGGGCTTCAGCTGTTTCAACAAACCTTGTGCTGGCCGATTGCTTGAGCAATGATATTGCCGTTTTCAAGTCATACTCCATTTTGTTTTCTCTCAATTTTTGGATTTCCAAAAATCTCTTGGATCTTGTCTGATAATTCCAGCACCAAGTAAAATTATTTAGTAAGAAGTTGAAAGAAAGGGCAAGTTAGGAAGAAAGAACAAAGTATTTGATAGCTTAAAGGAATACAACAATTTAAGATCCTCGAGCCCACAAATAAATCAGGCTAACTTCCTGAAGCAAAATAATTCAAGAATCTCTTGCCTACACTAACCAGGAATCCAGTAAACAAATTGACCTCTAAACAATGGAGTTTTAGAAGTCTTACGTAAAACAAGACCATTTTGTTATGCTTTTCCTGAAGGCTAGGGAAAGATTTTTTCAAAAAGTTCAATTTCAGGATCGTAAGCAAAAGAAAAATTAATATAAATTTTTCTAAAGAGAAAACTGTCATTTTGTGTGATATATAGCAAGCAGAGAAGTCTATATGAGCATACGCTACCTCACAAATGTAAGCATAAAATCAACACTTCAAATGAAGCATCTAACTATATCAATATTAGAATATGGAGTTATATAACAAGAAACATGTATGTGATTCTAGGCTACTGAAGAGAAACCTAAGCAATAAGCAACCGGAACATTATAGTTAGTTTATTCTGTTGGTGAATGCAGCAGCCCAATTTAAAGTTTTTAAACCTTTCAGATCCAAGAAACTAAAAGGAAATCAAGCAAATATAGCCTGCTTGGGAGTTTTATTTTCACCGGTTTTGATTAGTTTTGGTTGGCACCGTTTATGAGGGGCAGGAAGAACCGGTGTTGCTAGATTTTTTGAGCACCAGTTTTGGATGGTTTAAAAATCACCAAAAAATGGTATAGTGTAATTTTGACACGTTCTCTCGACCTACCAAATCGACGGTTTTTGGCCGTTTATCAAATTCTCTTCTAAATTTACCTTTTATAAAATAATTATTTTCAACAAACATATTTTGTTTAATATTAAATTATAAATAAAAATATACTAACTAAAAAAATTATTCATAAGCAAAAAAATTATAATATATTTAAAAAAATTACTTATAAGTAAAATGTTACTTATAAGACAAAAATTAATTTTGTGTAAAAATCTTACTAATAAGACAAAAAACCACTTATAAAATACAAATAAGTAAAAAATTCACTTATGTGT